CAAACACCCCCCCCCCCCCCCCCCGTGTGCCAATATGTATTTTAATAGTGTCATTTTCCTACATAGTATTACAATTTTTAACAAAGTCTTGACAATAAGACTGAACGTAATGCAAGAGAAGTCAAGAATGTCACTTTTTAGCTTTATATTGTTTATAATGCTAAGGGTCCCTTGAAATGGGTATGTTTAGCTATATGAAAATGTATTTTAAATAGAAATTCCATTTATCAATATGTGGATTGTTCACATTTTTGACCACAGGTACTGTAAGGGCTTGATCACACCAATTGCGGTGTGTTCCAGAGCGGTAGCTGCTGGAACGCACAGCAATTGCTCACTAAACTTCCCCCTTTGTTCTGGGGCGGGGCGATGCATTGAAGTCAATAGAACCGCAGCCAAGTATGCAGTGCAATCGGCGCGTGGCAAAAATTTCCTGCGTTTCGTTCCACTGTGAACCCAATAAAATGCTGCATGATCTATTTTTTGTGTTCTCTGTGGACTGGCACGCATTCAATGTTTTGCCACGCGTCCGATCGCACTGCGGGGGTGAATTTATGTCAAAGGCACAACATACATTAACATAACACAACAACATATATTAATGAGCACTTTCAACACATTTACACCAAAACCCTTTTCTTTACATATTTGTACTGTGCGCAACACATGAGCAAAATACACATATGTAATTTCCAGAAAAGTATATTCAGTAACGATTAATACCGCATGACCAAATGGCTAAGAAAGAGCCCATTGATATACCCTTGTATGCTCTATTCTATGCAGACCTCTGTATATTTAATGTGATCCTGTCACCACTTTGTACCTATCAGGTTTAATATACCTTGTTCATGTAGGTGCATATCAACCACATAAGTCTCCTTTCCGCTGTTTTTCCCCTATTTTAATGGATGAAGCTTTTCCATGTTCTGCTACTACCAAAAGCTTTGGAGATTGCAGAAATTAGAAAAACATAATCCGTAAAACGGGGGAACAACTTAACAGTAGAGAGGATGTTTTAGTAACGTCATCCCTTTTGATGTGGACAGCCTCAGAGCAATAGCTGAGATACAGGCTCATGGGTAAGGAATTGTTTCTGATTTTCAATAAAGGTAGAAATCACTGAGTGTGTGTATTTAAAAACAAATATAGATATTTGGATATCCCATGATTCTGTTTTATTTATGTTTAGAGAGTCACTATTGCTTATTATTCTTTACAATTTTCTTTAGAGACCACAAAATGGCTCTTCTACAGATGTCTACAGTGGAAGAAGCTATACAAGCATTGATCGACCTCCACAACTACAACATTGGCGATAACCACCATCTGAGAGTTTCTTTTTCCAAGTCAACAATTTAAAAAGAAAAAAAAAACACGAAAAGCAGAGCGCCTGGGTTTATCGCATTGTTACGTGTGTTGCCACCAACAGACTGTTCAGGAAAGTGGGGACCAGAGTTTGGCTTGTTTTTTCACTCAGTTATCATTCCTTGGTTCATCACATTAATTGATTTAAACTGCAGTTATGATTTTGGCTGCAGGTTTTCAAATGTCACTATGGAAGACATTTCTGATTATTCTTTTTTTTCAGTTTTTCTTAATCCATGGACATGTGCCTTAAATAGTAAGGTTTTTTGTTTCCCAACTTTTTACCATTTAGAATGCAGGCAAATGGTCACGGGCACATGGTTACATGTGAACTACAGAATGTTGCACCAGGAGACATGTAAAGAGGTTAAGCTTTGGTTCCTCCTGCTCAGAACTTCAACACAAACATCAGTCATGTTCTTTCTGTACTGTGCCCACTTCAACATTTCTTTCACTTTAAAAACAAATCATGTAATGGTAGGAAACCTCACTGTTTTAATTTCTTGTTGGTGTTTGCCTTGTAAATTAGACAAGGTGTATTTTTAGTGTCTCTTAGTAACAAATAGTGTACTTTTTTTTTTTTTGTAAAAGGCAAGGAGATGATCCTTAGAAGTCTTGGTCCTGTTTCTGAAAACAATGTAGAATCTTAATCCTTTTTGTATTCTCTCGTGAATCGTATCATTTAAATGTTAGAACTAAAGTAATGTCTTATTTGTGGCTGAATATTTTCTGTGGTTTTTGAAGTTGACATGACTGATGTGCATTTAACTCTGTATTTGCCATCTGCTGTTTGTAATTCTACTCGAAATATGGTTGTGGATTTCTGAGCATGTGCAGACTGGTCAAGTGATTTCAGAAACTGGTGCATGTACTTTATGGCAGGGAGCGCCTTTTTGACAAAAAAGAAACTAGTGGCCGTTTTTGAAAAAAACTGACATCCAGGTGGGACCAAAGTTTATGTGCCTTTAGTCTTAATTTACCTACATTGTAATATTCTGTTTTAATAAAGAACTTCAAACTATTTTGTATGTTTAAACAGACCTGACTTATAGGCATGGCTCAGAATCTACCAGCTAGAATCAGGCAAACAGCTCATCCCTTCAATGAGCTGTTTATTTGGTTCTCATTCCGACAAGTACATTGTTTTAATTAATGTATTTGGTTGAAATTCATAGATTCTGTTTATCTGTGTAGGTGAATAAAATGGTCATGTATATTTTCTATTAGTTACGTTTTTACATCATTAGAAATGTAAAATTCAGTCTAGTTTGATTGCGGCACAATTAAAAATTAATTTTCTAACAAAGTCAGTAGGTTGATGGTGGTTTTGATTTCATCTTGTGTACTCTGCTTACCTCTGTAGCATGCTCAATAAACACTTCTGTAGCTCTGTATTCTCTCTTCTGTCTCTCTCTGCTGCCTCTTCTTTCTTCAGCTCTGTTTTCTCTCCACTGTGCTTTAAAATTCATATCTCTCTGCCAGGGTGGGAAACATTATTTGTCTTGTATACAGATCTTCATTTGTAAATAACCCTAAATTGGTAGCACATTGTCAAAGGACAGAGTCTTATTATCACATATTCCCTGACTTACTGGAGTTGGCAATAATTGGTCAGCCCCAGTAGTCATAGCCTACACTTTCCCACCCTGATGAATATCTTCTGCTTTTACAGACATTGCCGTAAATAACTACCTGTTTGTTTCTTTCTTTCTTTCTTCGGTAGCAATTGGAGAATTGGATCAAAGTTTCTCAACTCTAGTCAATTTAGACTGCTGTTGAAAAAACTGTTTGAGGTACTTCATTCTCTATTGCTACAGCTTCATTTCATATGCATTTAGGTTTATTAATATTACTATTCCCTTAAACACACAGATACAATGTTGAGGGACCTATAACTTAAATATTATCTATTTACTTACTATCTGATTCCTACAAATATTTTTTAGGATAAGAGGGAAAAAAACCCAACCTTAATCTTGCTGTAATTTTCTTTTCAATTCTAATTGGGTGAAAAATTGTAACGGGTATTAACATAGGTTGAAAAAAAGACACAAGTCCATAGAGTTCAACCTATAGAGAGATGGGAAAAATAAAAGAAGAAAAGCCTAAACAGAACACTGCCCACAATTACCCACTGTTGATCCAGAGGAAGGCAAAAAAACACTATAAAGCATGGTTCAGTTTGCTCCAACAAGGGAAAAACGAAATCCTTCCTTTTCCCATAAGGCAATCGGATATTCCCTGCATCAACAATCTCTGGTGCTTAATTTACCTATAAGAACTCAATATCCAGTAATATTCTGTGCATTTAGGAATACATCCAGATTTTTTTGTTTTAACTGAGCTCGATAGAACTAGCTCCTGGGAGAGTCTGTTCCACATTTTCACAGCTCTAACTGTGAAGAATCCTTTCCCCATGCAAAGGTATACCTCTTTTCCTCCAGATGCAAAGAGTGCCCCCTTGTCCTTTGCAGTGACCTTAAGGTGAATAATTTGGCACCAAGCTATGGAGCATTTATGTATTCATACATAGTGATCATGTCCCCCCTTAATTGACTTCGCCAGAGAAAACAAATTCAGGTCAGCTAATCTTTCCTCATAGCTGAGCTCCTCCATGCCTCTTATCAGTTTAGTCGCCCTTCTCTGCACTTTCTCCAGTTCCACAACATCCTTTTTGTGAACTGGTGCCCAAAACAACTGCATATTCCAGATGAGGTTTTACTAATGCTTTGTACAGGGGCATGATTATGTCTCTATCTCTGGAGTCTACACCCCGTATAATACAAGAAAGTATTTTGCGTGCTTTAGAAACTGCTTTAGCACGAGATGAATTGATAGGGATTGGTAACTGTATAAAAAGAGTTCCATGTCTTACATACTCCAGAGGTGCCAATTGATCACTGTATATGAACATGTTATGTGCTTCTGAATATATTCAGCTAATTGTTTATTTCTGCATTGGAGAATATAGCTGGTCATGGTAGTCAGTTCATCTGACATTAAAAGTGAAAATGTATAAAACATCAGCAAATGTAAATAATTATTTTTCCTTGCCTCTAAAGCTTGCATAGCACTTACAACAAACAAAGCCTTAAAGTAATAAAGGCTAGGTGTTTTTTTACCTTAATGCATTCTCTGCATTAAGGCAAAAAACACCCAGCACTTTTCTAACACCCCTCACACTTATCTGCAGCGGCTTGTATCCTCTGCTGCCATCAGGAAGATACTCACGGTTCCCCGAACTTCCTGGTTGTGGGGGAGGGTAGTAAGGGCAGAGAAGCCATAGTCTCTTTCTGCCATCAGTCAAACCTTGACTGCAAGAGTGGGGTTGTGGCCAGCTCGTGTCTATGGACATACACAGCTAGGTGCGGGCATGTCCGCAGATGCTGTCCCTGTAGTGTTCAAGAATCCTGTGGATAAAAGTCAAGAAGCCAGTTCTAAGGCCTTGTCCACCTGTCAGGCCTTGGGTTTCTAGTCCAAAGACATGTTTCGATATCCTAGATATATCCTAGTTATGGGTGCAAATGACTTCACCCATGTGCCCTTTTTCCACCCACTGGAAACTACTATATATTAGGGATACACTGAAATTTTGTCTGGAAACCGTACTTTGGGCAAAAAGCTGAATTGTGTACTCAAGTTAAATAACATGAGTTATTTTACCTCAAAATGTAATGAGGTATTTGGCTCCTAATGAATTGAGTGCCTTTTGCTTAGGCCCCTTTAACCACTTGCCGTCCGCCCGTAGTAAAAAAAAACGGACGGACGGCACTGCAGCATTTGCGGGTTGCCGATTAGGCGATTAGCGGCTCCATAGCCCGCCGATCGTCTATATGTTTGCGTTCGCCCCTCCCCCCCCCACCCCTCACCTTGAATCCCGGGATCCGCTGCCCCGTCTGCGGCCCGGGATCGGCTCGGAGGACGGGAGATCAGCTCCTTGCTGATCTCCGTCCGGGCTGTGAATGCAGAAGTGATGTGTATTACATCACTTCCGCATTCACCTGTCAGTCATCTGGCTGCTATAGCCAGAGAGAAGAAGCTGATGAAGCAGATCTCTGCTTCATCAGCTTCTTTTGGGGTCCACAGGTGACATTAGGGGTCCTAGAGACCCCTAATGTCTCCATAAAGAGGACCTGTCAGTGTGCCTTTGCTATTATATAGGGGGATTGTTATCCCCCTATATAATAGCAATAACAATAAGTGCAAAAAAGTAAATATAAATTAAAAAAAATAAAAGTAACATATAAAAGTCACATATAAAAAAAGGGGAAAAAACCCCCCCAAAATGTTTAACTCCCCCACCCCCACGTTTACGCGCCTATAAACGTAAATACGCGTCCGGTGCCCCAGCGCGCAAAAATTACAATTGCGCTACACATGTTACATATCGCCGCGAACGTCGCAGTGAGAGCAATCATTTTAGGGCCATCAATCACTGATAACACTAAACTGATGAGCGGTAATGGCTTTTAAAGCGTCGCCTATGGCCAATTTTGGGTATTCTCGTTTTTTGAGGTTTCGCGCGCACGCAATTTTAAGGCTTGACATGTTTGGTGTCTTTTTACCCGACGTGACCCCGTCTTTTATATTTTACCAAAAAATTGGGTAATAATAAATGTTTTATCATTTAATATAGGGGAAACTTTTTTTTTTTTTAATTTCGGTAATTTTTCCTTAATATAGTAAAAAAATACAAACCCCAGTGGTGAATAAATACCACCAAAAGAAAGCTCTATCTGTCCCCAAAAAAGGGTATCAAATTCATTTCAGTACAGCGCTGCATGACGGAACAAATGTCAGTCAAAGTACCGCAGCGCTGAATACTGAAAAATGGCCTGGATGGGAAGGGGGTTTAACACCGTGGATGTCAACTGGTTAAGGGGGAATGCCTCTTTGGCAAATCCCTAGACAGCTTTATTAAGAAATGGGGGGTGGGGTGTATGAGTACCCTTTTACCGCAATAGAAAAAGACAGCTTTAGACGGGTACACCTTCTACCTCTAAGGACATTTCTTTTCATTTCTCCCAGACATCAAAGGACAAGTACGGGTCTTAGTTCTTCTGTATATCCTGTATCCTCCAAGCCTGTGGGCAAGTCAAAATCACAATGAGGGGATGTCTACTGCCCTTTTGATTCCACTGGGTCCCAGGACATTTCAGACATTTGGGTCTAGAATGTGGTATTCGGGTGCTACAAGCTAGAATTGCAAACTCTGCCTCCACCCCACTTGACCAAGATGGGCTGGACTCCGCACTGCTCTGAAACAGCTACTTTCTCAAGAAGTCAAGCATCGTTCTAGAAATGGAAAAATTCCAAGGTTTTTACTCAAACCCATTCCCAAAGCAAAAGGGGGCATTTGGCTCATTCTAGTTTACAAGGTTCTCAACACCTTCCTCTCTACAAAATTTAGCATGGAATCTTCTGCGTCAGACATTGCCTGATTCCATATTGTGGGGCTTTCTGGCCTCCTTGGACATTAAAGATGCCTACTTGCATGTCCTCATTTTCCGGGCTTATCAAGGATTCCTGCGTTTTTGCAGTGGTCATACAACATTACCAATTTGTTGCCCTTCTCTTTGGTCTATCACCTGCACCTCAGATTTTCAACTTGGCAAGGAATCCCTATAGTGAAATATACAGTATAAAAAAAAAAATTTCTTCCAAGAAAACAGGCAGTGCAGGCTCTATCATCCTTCATACTGTCTAGACCCTGTAGAGCAGGGGTAGCCAAACTCCGGCTCTCCAGCTGTGGTGGAACTACAAATCCCATGATGCATCTCTCTCCGGGAGTCATGTCTGTGGCTGTGAGAATCTCGCAATGCCTCATGGGATTTGTAGTTCCACAACAGCTGGAGGGCCGGAGTTTGGCTACCCCTGCTGTAGAGGTTCAGTTAGATCCTAAACCTCTAGAAGTCAGCCTTGGAAATGTCTCATTGTGTTAAGTATGTCTCTGAATCATTGCATGGTAGATCACAAGTGCAGTACCGTAGTCTGGGTAATCCTTCCTCTCACTGGTATGGAAAGTCCTCATGACTGATACCAGCCTGTTGAAAT